AGCACCAGCACCAGCGCCGGGCTGCTCAGCGCCGGGGAGCCGCGGTCCACGGCGCCCACGCCGAACTCCAAGACCCGCAGGGCCTCGTAATCCAGCGCCCTCAGGGCGAACAGCTGCCCGTTGTCCGCGTTGATGGACACCAGGGAGGCCAGGGGCAGCTGCGGGTCCTGGGGCGGCAGCAGCGAGTAGGTGACCTGGGCGTTGGCGCCCGCGTCTCTGTCTGTGGCGCTGACGCTGCCGATGTGCAGGGCGGGGCTGTTGTTCTCGCGGACGAACAGCGTGTAGGAGGTTTGGGTGAAGGCTGGGGCGTTGTCGTTGACGTCAGAGACCTTCACGGTTATGTTGTGCTCCGTTTTCAGCCTGGGTGTCCCCAAGTCAGTGACAATGATAATGATGTTGTATTCGGCTCTTTCTTCTCTGTCTAGTGCTCTCTTCGTTACCAAGGTGTAAAAGTTCTTGACTGAAGGTTTTAGAAGAAAAGGAAGGTCGTCCTGGATGGAAGAAATAGTCTTTCCGTTATCCCCTGAGTCAGGATCTGAAACACTGAAAACAGCAACTACGATCTCAGGCGAGTTCTCTGGGATGGGGCTGGTGAATGCTGACATGGTCACTTTTGGAGGATTATCATTCACATCCACCACCTGCAGGAGAAGAGTGCATTTTCCTGAAAGACCTCCCCCATCAGTGGCTTTGATGTCTACTTCATAAGACCGCACTGTTTCAAAATCTACTTGTTTTTTCAGTCGAATTTCTCCTGTCACAAGATTTACCTCTAAAGTTTTGCTAATGTCTTCTGAAGGCTGAAAGAATGAATATGATATTTTTCCATTGACACCGCTGTCTAAATCTCTGGCAGAGACGTTGACAACCAGGGAGCCAACAAGACTGTTCTCGGGAATATGCACCTTGTAGAGCCGCTGCTCAAACTCAGGGGCGTTATCATTGACGTCCACCACTTCGATGAGCACCTGGGCGGTCCCCTGACGGGGTGGAGAGCCACCATCCAGCGCTGTCAGGGTTAATGTGATTTCAGGCTCCTCCTCCCGATCCAGCTCTTTGTCCAACACTAGCTCCGGATATTTTCTGCCATCGCTGAGATTGTGGGTTAGAACTTGGAAATGCAGGTTGTGGCTGATTTTGTAGTTCTGAACATTGTTGCTTCCCACGTCCAAGTCCAGAGCATTACTCAGAGGTAATGCGATTCCTAGAGGACTGTTTTCTGGTATTTTTAGAATCATTTCTCTTTCCGTGAACACAGGAGAATGGTCATTTATGTCCTTTACCGTCAGTTCAGCCTGAAATATCTCTAAGGGATTTTCCATTAGCACTTGGAAATGTAGTACACAAGGCTCAATGGAACCGCATAGCTCCTCTCGGTCTGGTTTCTCATTTATGAGCAAATCTCCAGTCTGAACCTTGAGCTGCAAATACTCTTTGTGACCTTGAAAAATGATCCGGGCCCCACGGGTGGACATCTCCGTCAACCCCAATCCCAGGTCTTTTCCTAGATTTGCCACAAAGAATCCCTTCTCCGTTTCTTCCACTACTGAATAGGGCCCTAACTCGGCACCCACCCCAGACATATTCAGCAAAAGAAAGAAAACTAGGACTTGCCTTTGTCTCCGATTGCACATCCATCCAGTCTCCATTGCTGTTTCCTGAAAATTTGGTTCACAGGAGCTTCATGTATGCCCAGTATCCTTGTAGCCCGGTCTTGAAGTCCAGAATGGTGGAAGTGTGTTGCTAAATAGAGGTTTTATAAAGGTTCAAACTCAATTCACTCTGGCTGAGAAGGCTGTTCTTTAGCTTCCAGGCAGTGTGAAACTGTTTGGCTGGATACTGGAGCTGTGGAGGCAATTCTGTTTTCCATCATTTAACCTGCAGCGCCACCATGCGTTCTCACTGCGTCTTATATTTTCTGGCTTAACATTGGATACAGAATTCTCTTAAGTGTACCAAATAAATTGTGTAAATTGTATTCTGTAATATAAAATACCGAGTTCTATTTTCACATGTTTTCTGTGTGTTGTTGCACGGAGCAAACTGTCACTTATATTATTGACTCTTTAAAGCTGTTGAGGTTTAATGGTTAAGTAAAATAATTTAACATTTAAGTTGAAAAGGACATAAATTTAGAAGCAAAATGTTTTCAAAGTAACATGGGAACAGTTTCATAAGTACACATTTTTCATGATACATACATATTATAAAATTACAAATGAGTTGACACTGCAAAATTGCAATCGATAGCAGTTCCAAAGTGACTTATCAAGAGTAGGTTACTCCTCTTCTTTCCAAAACCTAAGACTAACAACTGTAAGTTTTCACAGTTTCAAATTATTGGAAAATTATTTCCCAAATAGCCAGATCTCAAGGTTAGGCCTGCATGCTTTGGGATGCTTTTAAATTATTGTGATGCAAATAATTTGTTTTATTCTTTTTTAAAAAAACAGTTTTAGTAAGATATAATTCACATACCATACAATTCATCCATTTAAAGTGTATAATTCAGTGGCTTCTTAGTATATTCAGAGTAGTGCATCCATTACCACAGCCAATTTTAGAACATTTTCATCATCCCATAAAACTGTACCCTTGAGCTATCACACCCACTATTCCCCTGTCCCTCTTGCCCCAAACCCTAATCAGTCACTAATTTACTGTCTGTTTCAATAGACCTCTATATTCTGTACTTTCATGTTAGTGGAATAATAACAACATGTGGACTTTTGTGACTGGCTTCTTTCAATTAGCATGTTTTCAGTGTTCATTCAAGTTGTAGTTTATGCCAGTACTTTCTTCCTTTTGTGACTGAATAATATTCCAATGTATAGATATATCACATTTTGATTATCCATCCATCTGTTGATAGACATTTGGGTTGTTTCCACCTTTTAACTATTATAAATAATCTATGATAGTGTTTGTGTGGACATATGTTTCATTTCTCTGGGAGTAGAATTGCTAGGTCATAAAGTATCTGTAGATTTGAGTAACTGTCAATCTTTTTTCCAGAAGAGTTTCACCATTTTACATTACCACCAGCAGTGTATCCACATTCTAATTTTGCACATCCTCCCAACACTTGCTGTTATCTGACTTTTTGATTCTAGTCATCCTAGTAGATTTGAAGTGGCAGCTCATTATGATTTTGATTTTCATTTCTCTGATGAGTAATAATGTTAAACATCTTTTCTTGTGCTTATTGGCCATTTGTATATCTTCCTTCAAGAAATGTCTATTCAGATCTTTGCCCATTTTTAAACAGGGTTATTTGTCTTTTTATAATTAAGTTTTAAGAGTTCTTTATATATTCTAGGTACAAGTCCCTTATCAGATTTGTATTCTTTTGTTCAGGTTTTCCATTTCTATAATTTAAATCACATTCTTAAATTATCATAAAGATTTATGATATCTTTCTTTATCCATTTAATGTTCTTGTTAAGAATTTTTACAAGTTTATTAATTACCTTTTCTGGGGTTAAAACATCTATCTAATCAATGAGGCCTAAACTCTTGGTATAAAGACCTTTATGTGCCTTCCTTTGGCCACAGTGGTACCACTAGATCAGATCATTTTCTTCCAAGTAGCCAATCTGTGGTAGGCAGAATAATGGCCATCCACTGAACGATGTTCATGCCTTATTTCCCAAAAATCTGTAAATGTTATCATATATAGCAAAAGAGACTTCACAGATATAATTAAATTGAGTACGTTGTTAAGGGAAGATCATCCCGGATTATCTGGGTAAGACAGAACCTTTTCTGGCTATGGTCAAAGGGAGACGTGACTATGAATGATCAGGGAGACACAATGTGCTGGCTTCGAAGATGGAATAAGGTCCCATGAGTCAAGTAATGTAGGCAGCATCTAAGAGCTAGAAAAGACAAAGAAATGGATTCTCTTCTAGAGCCACCAAAAAGAAGGCATCCCTCCTGACACCTTAATTTTAGCCCAGTAAGAGCCATATTTGACATCTGATCTACAGAACTATAAGGTAATACATTTTTATTGTTTTAAGCAACTACATATGTGGTAATTATTTTATAGCAGCAATAGAAAACGGATACAAAACACAAACATAGATTCTCATGCACCCAGCAGCTTATAGATTTACCAATCTATAAGAATAGTATTATCAGAGCAAATGCTGAAGAATGTCTGATTCAGTTCTGGTGAGCCATTCTTTCAGAAGAAAGTCATTCGTGACCCTAGACATTTTTTTTTTCAGCATACTTTTAAAGAGGAGTTGCCAAAAAATATTGTTAATTATAACAGAAAGTAATAGGAACCTATCATTTTCCCATAAATTTCCAGAATCTCTAAATTATTTAGTGATAAAAATTCCTCCACAATATTGTTGATACTTTTCTGAAGTTAGTTATTTAATTTATAATTAATACTAAGATAGCAACTGCTTTCAAATAAATGGTAAACTAAAATGACAACAGCATATTTAATTTGAATAAGGGACTTACAAATATCTGTATAATAAAGCAAGTTTCAACTTTCCAAAGAAAATGAAAAGTATGTTTTAGGGATGACAGAAAAAGACTGAAGGTATAGTAAAAGAAATTCAAGAAATACAACTATAGGATAAAGCAACACTAAGGATTGAAATAATAGACGAATAAACAAATGCCTATTCAAGGCATTTGTTTCGGCAATAATGAATGTAATATGTTGAAAATGTACAGAAAGATAATCAGCTGATTCACTTGTGTTGAAGATTAATTGTGGTACCTGAACTAGCTTATGTAGGTCAGTGCTTCTATAAGAACTTTGGGTTTATTGGTCCAGAACAGTGTGGCCATTGATATAGAAACAAATACACACTATAGAACAATAGTCACATTTCTACATAGGAGTTCAGTTCATGGAATAGATGGATTTCACTTCCTTTGTTAGGAAGACAATGCTACCAGTTAACGCTTGCCATTATAGCATATGAGTTAAGAACTGCGGCATTCAATTCAAGTAGACTGAGGATATATTTCAAAATTTTCCTTTTACTGTGCAGAATTTCAAGCAATTTACTTCACCTTTCTTAGCTTCAGTTTTTCATATGTAAAAGAGGGTATAATATGCCAACTCCCTTAAGGTTTGGCAGAGGATTAAAAAGATGACAAATGTAAAGCACTCTGTACATGACTTTTAACTAAATTAGAAATCAAGAAACGAAAGCTTAAAAAGATCAGTTAGATCAAACTATACACTTAAGATCTGCGCATTTTACTTATTATACAATAGTTTAATGAAAAATCTTAATATTAAAGCATTAGGATTAGATTCCACTGGAGGGGGGCACAAAACTAAAAAGATAGTGGCTTAAATGAGATAGAAGTTCCTTTATTTACCGAGTAAAAAAGTTCAGAAGAAGAAATTCAGGATGACATAATGACTCTGTGATCATCAAGGACCCTCATCGTTTAAAAATTTATTCTATATGGTCGTTCTTCGTCTATTATTTCAATCCTTAGTGTTGCTTTATGGCCCAACATGGCTGGCTGTGTTCCAACTATGACTTACAATTTATAAGCAGCAAAGAACAGTTAGAGAAAGACAAAAAAGGACCTATTCCTGGATGAGTTATCTCCCCTAAACAGATTTCTTGGAAGTCTTCTACAATATTTGTATATACATGTCATTGACTAAACCCTGGTCAAATGCCCCGTTCTGGCTGCTAAGGAGGTTGGCAAAATGTATTCTTTTGAATAAGCACACTAATGCCTTTAGTGAAATCTAAAGTCAGTTATTAAAGAAGAAAAAATGAATGGGTATTGGGTGGCCACTGCATTTTCTGTCACAGATGCTCTGTGTTTCCCAAGAGGGAAAAGCCGGTTTCACTACTATGCTATTTCATCTCACAGGATAAATACAGTGTAGCTTACTCTCTCCTTTGAACACCAATGAAACTAAAGGAAAACAATCAAAATGATTATATTAAAATTAACACTGGTATATTAATGAAAGGAAGCACCATCAATATAACATTTTAAGAGAAAACAATAGCAAAGATAACTGCTATGAGAACAGAATAAAGCAAGACCCAAATTCTCATGGTACCAGTTCTCTTTCCTTCCTGGTTAGGCATACTTCCCCATAAGTGTTAATGTATTACTGCTCTTATATACCTAATGGTTTAAAAACTAATGAAAAATTTAAAAGCTCAAGGAAATTTAATCACATATAGAATTAACTTTTAACTGTTTTACCTCTAATAATTCATAAGCTATTCCAGATTCAGCATTTGAACTATTGATTTCATCAGTCTTTTGAGAGGCAAAACTAAGGACCATTCATCTTGTTATAGTAATGGAAAAACAAACAAAATACCATTCTTTAAAATGATGGAATATCAGAAAATTTCCAGCAAGTTTAGTGTAATTGAAAAATTCATAATAGATTGACTGAAAATCCATCACCTTGAACTAATCAATTTTAAATATTTGGAATATGATAAAGAATTATTGTCCCTGAATACTGAAACTAAAGTCATTTCTAAAGCTGGGGTTTTCTTCTATTTCTGACGCAAGGTAATTGCCTTGGGAATTGGGCACGATAGGCTTCAGAAACTTCAACTCGCTGGTCCCTGAGCCTCCCCTCAGATACACTTCATACTTGTAGCTCTCGGACAGGGTCCCCGTGCCGCTGACGTCCACCAGGTGGCCCGGGAAGTGGCCCTCAGGCACCGAGCAGCCACCCACCCAGGAGGCCCTATTCCTCCTGCACAGCCGCACCGCGACGAACGCCAGCACCGAGAACAGGAAGAGCGACGACACCGACGCCAGCGCGATGACCAGGTAGACGGTGAGCGGGTCGGCCTGGGCCGCGTCGGCAGCCGCTTCCGGGAGCGGCAGGTAGGGCTGCGAGAAGCCGTCCACCAGCAGCACGTGCAGCGTGACGCTGGCCGACAGCGGCGGCTCGCCATTGTCCTTGACCAGCACCAGCAGCCTGTGCTTGGCCGCGTCGCGCTCGCTCAGCAGCCGCGCCGTGCGCACCTCGCCGTTGTGCGCCCACACGCTGAACAGCCCGGGCTCCGTGGCCTTGAGCAGCTGGTACGACAGCCAGGCGTTCTGGCCCGAGTCGCCGTCCACCGCCACCACCTTGCTCACCAGGTAGCCCGGCTCGGCCGCCCTGGGCACCAGCTCGGTGCAGGGCGCAGAGCCGTTCTGCAGCGGGTACAGCACGAAGGGCGAGTTGTCGTTGGCGTCCAGCACCAGCACGCGCACCAGCGCCTGGCTGCTCAGCGCCGGGGAGCCGCGGTCCGCGGCGCCCACGCCGAACTCCAAGACCCGCAGGGCCTCGTAATCCAGCGCCCTCAGGGCGAACAGCTGCCCGTTGTCCGCGTTGATGGACACCAGGGAGGCCAGGGGCAGCTGCGGGTCCTGGGGCGGCAGCAGCGAGTAGGTGACCTGGGCGTTGGCGCCCGCGTCTCTGTCTGTGGCGCTGACGCTGCCGATGTGCAGGGCGGGGCTGTTGTTCTCGCGGACGAACAGCGTGTAGGAGGTTTGGGTGAAGGCCGGGGCGTTGTCGTTGACGTCGGAGACCAGTACGGTAATGTTGTGCTCGGTTTTCAGTCTGGGTGTCCCCAAGTCGGTGACGGTGATGGTGATGTTGTACTCGGCTCTGGCCTCTCTGTCCAGTGGCTTCTCTGTTACTAGGGTGTAAAAGTTTTCCAAGGAAGATTTTAGGGAAAAGGGTAGATCGTCTTGGATGGAGCAACTTATTTTCCCGTTTTCTTCTGAATCAAGATCCGAAACACTGAAAACTGCAACCACAGTCTCAGGTGAGTTCTCAGGGATCTGTCTGGTAAGTGCGGACATGGTTACTTCTGGGGCATTGTCGTTCACATCCAAAACTTGAGTCAGAACCGTGCATTTTCCAGACAAGCTTCCAGTATCTCTGGCCTCAATATTGATCTCATAGGACTGAATTGTTTCGAAATCAAGATGTTTTTTCAATCGAATGTCTCCTGTCATGGGATTGATCTCAAAGGTTTTGCTCATCTCTTCTGAAGCCTGGAAAAGCGAATAGGAAATCTCTCCGTTGACTCCTATGTCTATATCGGTAGCAGAGACCGTGACAACCAGGAAGCCTGTGGGACTGTCCTCAGGGATCTGCACCCTATAGAAAGGCTGCTCAAATTTGGGAGCATTATCGTTGATGTCCACGACTTCAATGTAGACCTGAGCGGTGCCAGAACGTGGTGGAGAGCCGCCATCCTGAGCGCTGAGGGTTAACCTGAGCTCAGGTTCCGACTCGCGATCCAGCACTTTGTCCAGCACCAGCTCGGGATATTTACTGCCATCGCTGCGTTGGCGGGTATGGACTCCAAAATAGGAGTTGGGGCTGATTATATAGCTCTCAATATTATTTCGTCCTACATCCATGTCCTGAGCGTTCTTCAAAGGAAATGCAGTCCCAGGCGGACTGCTCTCTGATATTTTCAGCAACATCTCTCTGTCCATGAACACCGGAGCGTGGTCATTTATGTCTATTACTTGTAGCTCAGCTTGAAAAAACTCTAAGGGATTCTCTAGCAACACCTGGAAACGCAGCACACAGGGCTCTGTGTGACCGCACAATTCCTCGCGGTCCAGTTTCTCATTTAGCGACAAGTCCCCGGTCTCCTGATCGAGCTGCAAATGCAGTTTGTTCCCTTTGGAAATGACCCTAGGCCCCCGCTTGGAGAGTTCCCCCTGCTCCAGACCCAGGTCCTTTGCTAAACTGGTTACAAACGAGCTCCCCTCAGTTTCCTCCACCACAGAATAGCGCCTAGGTTCAGTGCCCGCCTGAGATAAGCCCAAGAAGAAAAAGAAGAAAAGGACTTGCCTTTGTCTGCAAATGAGCTTCCTGCTGGCCTCCATTGTTCTTATTTGGTACAATCTCAGCTGGTTCCGCTGAGCTGTAAAGAATTCAGTGTCTGAGCTGTGATAATTCCACAAGATACCTCAGAATATTCCTCTGAGTAGTCCTTTTTAGAGGACCCGGTCGTCCTTCTGTGGCACCCAAGCTTGTCGTGGGCTTCCAGGCTCTGCCGTTAAGTTTTGCCTGGTAATGGAGGCGCAGCTGTGGTTCCAGTTTGTACCTTCTTATCCTGCAGCGCCACCGCGCGTCCTCACAGGATCTTACATCTTTTGGGATGAAAATGGATGCACTAGTTCTCTTTCCTATATTGTGCAGGTTACAACACTGCACTTACTATCGCCAGACCTTATGAGTGCAGACAATCGTCTGAGGGCCTCACAAGAGAAATGACAGTAGTAGGGACTTTCTACTTTTAATAAGGTTAATTGAGTTTGGAGCAAAAAACTATTTATGTATCAGATTGGCAGAAAAGAAAGAATATATGCAGGAAAAAAAATGTAAATACATAATTGGACTAACATAGAAAAGTTTCAGAATTATATACTTTTATTGCCATGAGCTATGAGAATAATTAGTAGCTATGAATCTTGGACAAATTATTTAAACTCTGCCTCAGTTTACTCATCTGTAAGATGGAGTTATAATAGTATCTACTACATAGGACTGCTGTGAGTTCTCCCTATACAGATGAGGAAACTGAGGCAGAAACAGACTAATCTTATAAACACACACACACACACGCGCGCGCACGCACGCATACACACCCTAGGCATGTGATTTGGTGCCACCAGATAGCTGAGTTTGCATGAGTCCATTTCCATGACTAGAAAAACATTCAATATTCATGTGGTAGAAGAATGCATGAGCAGAATTATTTATCTAAGGTATAAGTTGACTTGTCAAATGACAGAACAAAGAAAGACTGGAAATTTTGTCTAATAGAGGTATAATCTGTTACGGCAGTGGTGACTCTGAATTTAGAAGGATGTCCTATTTTTGTTAACTCCACTTCTCTTCTTACACCGTCAATTTTTAAACACCTTTTATTTTGAAAAATTTCAAACCCCTTTAAGGAGATAAGTATGATGATGCCCCAGGTACTCATAACTAACTTCAACAATTATGAATATTTGGCCATAATTGTTCATCTCTCTAACATTTTCAAATCCCAGATGAACTAAATTTCACCCATAAATACTTCATTATATACCTCTAACTTTTAATGACCTAAAAACAACCACAATGCCATACCATGCTTAAGAAATTAGGTTAATATTATTTAACATCCATCTATATTCAAATATCTCCAATTCTTTCACAGTTGTTATGGTTGTTTGAATCTTGATTCAAACAAGATGCACCACACATTGCATTTGTTGGTATGTCTCTTAATTTATTTCATTGTGTAAAATTCCCTCCTCTCTTTTTCCATGTCATCCATTTGCTGGAAAAACTGGATAAGTTTATTCTGACACTATAAAAACAACTTAAGGTTATCTTGAGGGATTTTTTTTTTGTCTTTAGACTGTATCCCATTAGTAATGCACGGTAATAGTACGATTTTGAGAGTTACCAGCATTAGTTTATAATATATTCAGAATACAGCTATGCAAAAATTACCTGGATAATGTTAACGAAAAAAGCAGTTACAGATTATTATAACAAAGTCCCCCTCAACTTCCCAGAATATCTAAGTAATTTAATGATAATTTGTTTCTCCTTAATAGTACCTATTTAAAACTATTCTTTTGAAAATACTTTCACAATACATCACTGTAGTGTATTGAATAAGAAACTTTAAAAATAAACTTTCAAATTAAAGGAGGAAAATGTGTTTAAAAAGTAGGTAAAGACTACTATAGAAAAATTACTGCAATGTGAGGAAAATAATAAACTAATGAAGCAATTAAAATTATGTAACATTTCTATTAAGGGTCATTAATCTTTTCTGTGAAAGAACGGTCATATGTTCAGATAACAAGGAGAAAACACAAATTGATCTTCCAATTTTTTAAACTTAAGATTTGGTTAGATCAGAGCTTTAATAATAATAGTCAAATAATTGATCCAATCTGGGCTATTGGTTTATAAGAAAATAAAACCAGTATATATATATATATTTCCAAATATATATATATTTTCCAAATATAGAAAAGACTGAACAGTAATATGAATATTTAAAAGTGTTAAAATAGTGTATGATGCATAGTAATTACTTTTTTAAAAGCTTTAAAAGATACTCTATAATCTGTGCTTCTAAAACTTAGCATAGGTATACTTCTACAGCACTGAAATCAACTCAGAAAATAAAAGTTTGAAGACAACGAAAACCAATTTACAACATCTCAAACAAAATTCATCACGTTAAAGACTGCACACAATACACAATTGTTAGAAATAAAATAGACACATCCCATGCTTCCTGGAGAAGTATTAGGGCTAAAGTTGGATCCTCTTCTGTGTAAAGAATTTTTTTCTGTGACTTTAAGAATACTTTAAACAATGTGAAAGCACTCCTCTAGTGGTAACTCAGGATAAATCTCTTATGAATGTATTCACAGACACAATACTTGCATTTATTTTTCATTCTTTATCAGAAACCCAAATCATTCTGAAAAGAAGGATATTCTTCCACTTCCCTCCCTGAGCTCTGGGAATGCAGATTAGAGATAATTGGCCTCAGGAACTTGAACTCGTTAGTACCTGAGCCTCCCATCAGACAAACTTCATACTGGTAGCTCTGGGACAGGGTCCCACTGCTATTGACGTCCACCAGGTGGCCCGGAAAGTGGCCTTCAGGCACCGAGCAGCCACCCACCCAGGCGGCCTTGCCCTTTCGGCACAGCCGCACCGCGACGAACGCCAGCACCGAGAACAGGAAGAGCGACGACACCGACGCCAACGCGATGACCAGGTAGACCGTGAGCTGGTCGGCCTGGGCCGCGTCGGCAGCCGCTTCCGGGAGCGGCAGGTAGGGCTGCGAGAAGCCGTCCACCAGCAGCACGTGCAGCGTGACGCTGGCCGACAGCGGCGGCTCGCCATTGTCCTTGACCAGCACCAGCAGCCTGTGCTTGGCCGCGTCGCGCTCGCTCC